AAGGCTGCCTGCCTCTTCTTCCAAGACTTCAGCCTCCCTGTCAGAATACACTCCACATGCAATTACCTCTCAGTAAAGAAAGATGCATTTAAACAGAATGGTGGACAGTGCCTACCACACACAGCACACAGTAAACCCAGTAACCACTGGAACAAACATCCTGTTCTGCCAGAAGCCCCCACTCCTGACCAAACAGTGCAATGCACAGTGATCGCTTTCCTTCCAGGCTCACCCTCACCTCTGGAAGAAATGAAGCAAGAAGGGGTACCTCCTCCACAGAAACCCCCCAGAGGCCACAACTCACTTTATAAATTTGAATTGGTACGCTTCATGCAGACTTGGACTGATCCCCCCTAAAACAAACAGGTCACCACAGTGAGGAAAGTTACACAAAATTAGATTGTATGTTTAATAACACAGCTAAGTCAAATTTCTACACCTATACCACCCATATATTTTCCTGATGACAGAAAGGGGAGAGAAGGAATTAAAACACAAGAATTCGGGAAGCCTTCCTGACCACACTCACCCACATAAGGGCAGCGCTGCTTGAGACAGGGAAAGGCTCTGCTGAGCAACTTCTTTTCAGAGCAACCGGCAGCGTCTGCAGAGGGAGAAGGGCTATGTGCTCCTTTCCTTTCACTTCCTTTCTCAAACGAGGAAGGGGGTCTGCAGATTTCTCTCTCCATGGCCCCACTGCTGGCTGGAGAAGCTCTGGAAATGAGCTCTACGCGCAGGCACGCTCTGCGTGGGCCCAGGCTTCTACATGCTGCCTCCCCACCTCTTCCTGCCTCAGATCTGCCTACAAGAGGAGAGACTACTCCCCAGTCCCCACAGAACCCTTTGGGGCCATGGCTACCCCACAAGATGCTGCAGAGTGAAACACAGCAATGGCCCAGAGGCCTTACCATAGCCTGGAGCGGCACAAACTGCGGCCTCTGCTGCCCACCTCACACAGTCCTATGCTGATCATCCCTGTACCTCAACTTGTCTTTTTGTCTAAAAGGAAGTGACACCCTCTCCACAGCCAGAGTCTGGCTGATGGTACTCAGTGATGCTCCCACCCTATTCCTCATTAAGAAAGATCCTGAGGAAGCCGTCACACAGGGAGTGGGGTGAAAGGGGAGGTGAAAGGAAGAGAGGAAGTGGAAGGGAATGAAGTTAAGTAGGTAAAAGTATCACACGGCCTTGTACTTACTTTTTTCAGCTGGAATGAATTTTAAATGGCAATAAAACATATCCTATATTCTTACAAATCTGCTTTTCTGTTATTACTCACAAGAAAGTGCCCAGATTTCAATGTTCCCTAAGGAGGTTGTGCCTCTAAGACCAGTAAGAGGACATTATGCCTGGCTCCATAACTACCCAGGGCTTTTCTGCCCTGGGCCCATCATGCCACCTCAGACTATCCTCCTTTCACGCATCCAACAGGCCCAGGTGGGACCTCCTCTGCAGGAAGGCAGCTTCATGCATACTTAAAACAAGATTATTGGTGTCAGAACGAGAAAATGGGTAGATGAGTACACGGGATGCAGAGGAAAAGGTCTTTGCCTGCTACCTTCCTTCAGGCCCTACTGTTTTCCTTCTGTACCTTTTAGTATTTAAACATGAACCTGAGCACGTAACTGGAATTACTGTCCTTCACAACAGTCCACAAATCAGGAATTCAAGGTCTCAAAAGGAAAGAACAGGGACATTTGGACACAGGAAAAAATATCTGCTTTTTCCTAGCCAACCTCATGTTAAGCTAAAGACTCGAGGTTCCCTGTTTCATATTACAGGTGCCTGATTACACACACAAGAAGACAGAAAAGGCCCAAGAGCAAAGTTAAGTTAGATAAACAGATCTGATAAATCACTGAAAACAGAAAAAAAGATATTGAGGAAAGAGCAGTGCTAGGTCTCCTCACTGCCCAGGGTCCTTCTACCTATGCCAGAGAGCACCAAGGAGCTGAGAAATTGACAGCTAAACTGGAAGTATTACCCACGTGCCCTCATGAAGAACATGAGGGGTCCAGGATCCCATGACATTCCCGATATGACAACCACGTTCAAAAGCAATGGTGGCAGAGAGAGACCCAAAGGCACCCATCAAGGACAGAGACATTATAGGGGAAAAAGAAGGGAAGAGTGGTCCCTACCAAGTCCCCACCTCAAGAGGGTTACAGAAGAATTGTGACTCCCCAGGGCCCTAGAGAAGCCCAGAGAGCCCAGGGAATAGGCTCAAGAGCAGTAGAAGCCACTGAGGAAACACCACATCAGGTAAAAGCAGATTCTGGTCAATATAAGAGTATAGCTAGCTCTTTGGATTTAACTCAGTGGTTCTGCTGCCTGCCTTGCAAGCAAAAAGGACCCAAGTTTGATTCTCAGCACCAAATAAATAAATAAATAAATAAAGAGCACAGCTCTATCTGCGCATGGTGGCACATCCCTATAATCCCAGCACTCGGGAGGCTGAGGCAGGAAGATCACTGTAAATTCAAGACCAGCCTGGGATACATAGTGAGTTCCAGGTCAGTCTCAACTACATAAGGAGACCCTGTCTCAAAAAAAACAAAACAAAACAAAAAAAAGAGTATAGCTCTTTTACCTTTTCAGAGTCTTTTCATATAGTGTTTTGTTTCAGGTCATCTTCATTAACACTCTAGTAAGGTCTACAGAGGAAAGAGCACTTGCACTGAAGAGATGAGGGAGCTCAAGCTAAAAGGAAATGTCACCTTGGCCACCCTGTGAAAAGACAGCAAAGCAGAGCTCATCTCCTGGAATGCTCTGAGGAACAGACCCTGGATTTGGGAGCCAGTGCCTCCCAAAGGTAGAGAAATGGATGAGTTTATTGAAAGATTCAAAGTTAGAGAAACAATGAAAAAAAATTATTTATAAGGAAACGCTACATTAGGTAAACGAGATTCTAGCTGAACCCAGTATATCTTCAAGAGGAAAAAAGCAGGGTGGGCAGAGATAACACTAACACATGCCCTAGTGATGGCAGTCACACAGTAGTAGCAACATTAGAAAGCTAAGTCCTGGCCTGAAGCCAGTCTCCAAGTTGTGACCCAAAATCCAAACTTGAGATCAGAGTTTATTGTGATTTCAAGTGTTCTTAAAGATGAGAGCACACTCTGTTCTTAACCTCCTGACTGACCGCACCTACACGAGGTGCTGTGTTCTCTTCTGTAAGAGGTGGCCTGACATTCCAGAGGGAGAGGCTGGGGTGGGGAGGGGGACACACACCATGTCCAGTTCTGAAGAGCTTCTGTCCACCACTGGCCCCTCTACCACCAGTCCGTGGAAGCCAGTAGAAGTTCACAGGCAACCACTAAGACAAAGTGACACCTGTCACCCCACACCCGGTCCCATTTTCCTCCAGTCTTCACACATTCTAGCCACAGACACCAAACTTATCTACTATGCTGTAAGAAGGGCAGGTGTTAGGGAGAAACTGAGGAGGAGACAAAGCTCAATGGCTCCATTTTCCACCCTCTGCTCCCACACACTTAGCCTCTCCACTCCCTGCTGGTCTTTCCTAGGATTGCTGGAATGATTTGTTCTGAACAACGACAGGTTTATAGGTTAGCCGACACCTCTGCTCTGTGGAATTTTAATTAACTTCTCCCATCGTCAATATGCTAAGGAATGGGGTCTCCATTCTCAGGTCAGCAAAGTGTTTCAGGTCCTGCTATATCAGCCGTCAAATTGAAGAATTAATGACGTGGCTAATCGGCTCTAATTCTTAGGAAGAAAAAAATTTGAAAAGGAGCTGGGGAAGGAAGCAGGAGGAGGGGTGCAGGCCCCGTGAGGGGAGGAGAAAGAGGCTAAAGGGGACTGAGCAAAGGGAGGACCAACTTGCTCATAAAACAAGCAACTAACTTAATCCAGCGTTGGACAGTAGCACCCCGACCGCTTGCCCATCTCCCTTCAGGTGGGATAAAGGAGACACACATAGGCAAAGACTAGTGATATCATGACAGAGCAGGTACAGCAGAGAGTCTGCACACCCTCTGTGCACACAGACTGAGGGGCTTGGCATGTTTCAAAGAGCCTAGAAAGCAGAAGTCAGGACACAAAGCTCCTGCGTTCATATTTCTCTAGGTAAACCTACAGAAATACCAATCAGGCCCAAGGGTAGGGTGATACCATCATCAAAAATGTCACACTACTGCTACAACTGTCAATGTTCCTGCTCCTCCACACACATATATCTGGAAACAGACACAAACCCCTCTTGACAACTGCAGCCTGTAATGGATGCTCCACAGGACATCTTCCGGGGGAAGAAAGAAGAGATGTGGGTAGTGCGAGCAGGTGAGTACTGTTGCAACCTTCAGAAATGCTGGCAGGCTTCTGTTTGAAGCAACCCTAGAGGGCATCTGCTCCAAAATGGTCACCCCTGTTAACAGCTGGACTCTTACAAACCAGTTTGGTTTCTTTTCCTTAACATTTCTGAGGAAATCAACCCCTAGAAAGTTATCCCAACCCATGAATATATGAAAAAAATCCTCAAATGTCTTGGAGAATTTAAAAATCTCTAAGATAATGGCTCAAAGCAACCTAGAAAATGCAGGTTGAAGATTTTCTAGCTCATCTGACCTAGTGAAACAAAAGCATCACAGAAAGTCCTCTATTTACAAACATTCAAGTTGTGAACTTTCACAGATACAAGTGGACCTCGCATCATAAACATCTGTAAATGCAAACAGATTGTGGAAGTAGCTCCTGGGTCTGCGGGACAGTGTCGCACTGGTGCCGATGTACGGTGAGATAGTGTACTGAGGTAGGGTGCCCAGTCAGAGCCCAGGATGTCCGGAAAGCAAGAGAAAAAGCAGTAGTGATGTGGAGGGGACTGCCAGGAAGCTCACAGAAATATACGTTGTGTCAAGACTCACTTTGTCAGACATACAAATGAATTTGACTTACGAATATTCTCCCGAAATAGAGCTCATTCGTAAGTCAGGGACCTACTGTAGATGGGACAAATCACATCCAAAAAATGTCTTCCTTACCTTAGTAATGGGCTGATAGCAATGGACCAGACTCGGTCTTCAGTCTGGATGGTGTGTAAACACTGCCCCAGCCGGCCTGAGGCCAAAGGCCATACCTGGAAACAGGAGAGGAAAGGCTCTCATTGGCACTGCCTGGGATTAGGGGGAAGAAAGATGTAGCAGGTGGGTGACTATCCTCGTGAAGTGATAAAGAATCCTCTCGGTCCTGCACACACACAGCTCAGGCATCGGTAGAGGGACCTCTGCAGCTTCGGGTTCATCTACACTCAGACAGACCCTAACTCCCAGTCCTACCTACTTTCTGATTCCACCAAAGGCCATCATGTACTAGCCAATTTTATACTAGAAAAACAGAAATTTCCCACTCCTCAGCTTGACTAACAAGGGGTGGATAAATGGGGCTTGCCTCTCTCAGCAACTTTCCCAAGTTTGTGATCTTCCTTTCTCCTATTTCTTACCATGGAAGGAGACGAAGAGACTTCAAAGCAGGTAAGGGATGTGTTGTTTATTTGTTTGTTCATATTGCCCAGGACCCAGTGCTATTCACATCAACCGGGAATTTAGCACCTAGTGTCACCAAAAGCAGCAGCAAAGCTTAACTCTTTTAAGCTTCCATATCTCCTACAGGTTAAAAATATTGCTTGGAGCACATTATCTGGACCCTATCAGTCAGGAATGTACATTAGCAGCCACTCTGGGCTTAACTCTAATCAACACTCACAGAGCCCTCTCAGCAGTCAGTGCATTTAGAAATCTCCCATTAAGCACTGGTCTCCCCTTCACCTCACCCTACTCCAGATGACACACAGGCACATAAGCCTCTAACCAAACAGAAAGAAAACCTCAAATGTGTAGGGCTGTCCCCAGACAGTAGCCAAGAGCGATCATCCCAAGACAGCCAGATGGATCAGTGACCTCTCAAGGTCCCTACAGGGCTATAAGAGGAACACAGCAAATGCAGGCAGGACCTTAGATGGAAGAACTTTAAGGAAACATTCCTCCAGTCTAAGGGTAGGTGACGGAACAGGGGTGGTCCTGCCTTCCTGGGTCACATGGTATCTCTTCCCTATGAAAGGAAAAAGAGTTGAGGGGAGAGGGTGTGTGTGTGTACGTGTGTGTGTGAGAGAGAGAAAGACGGAGAGACAGACTGTGTGTGTGTTGGGGTGACTGTGTGAGTACTTGTTTCCAGGGAAAGAAAATAAATTCAACTAGAAGGTCCTGAACAAGGAGAGGCCGAAAGCAAAAGTAAACTCTGCAATTCTCTCTGAAATGTCAAGATTCCAGTTTACTCTGGGCTTTATAGTCAGCCTTTTTGTTAACAACTCTATGTATTTCTGATTTCCTCCTTTAGATTGCCCAGTTTGGAAGAGAGCTTTCCCTTGTCCCTGATATAAATTCCTTGGGAGGCAGGCTGTTGCCTGCATGGAAGCGGGGCATTAAGGAATCTGATTTACAAACTCTCTGGGGACAGCCTGAATTCACTGGTACCCTCTATGGAGAGGACCGGTAGACTCCTAGATTCTGCAAACCACAGAAAAAGGCTCCTGGTGTCTCAGAGTAGCTCAGGAAGCACATCGCCAATTTCAAGTAAGACTTGGAAAGCAGCCCTCAAAGCCTACACACCACAGCACTACATATGCCAGAAGCATGAGTGTCCCTGAACCTGAGGGACAAGAACTGACACAGTACAATGGACATATCTTTACTCTCAAGAGTCAAATTTATAACAGACTCACTTTGGAAAGTAAATATATAGTGGGAATGCACTTATATAGCCCCTTTCAAAAAACACATTGGGGGTAGCAAGACCCTTAAAATGACCAAAGCTTTTAACTCAGAATTTGAATGCTGAGAGCTCATGCTAAGAAAATAATCCTAACACAAAGAAAAATTTAAGCTGGGCATGGTGGCGCACGCCTGTAATCCCAGCACTCGGGAGGCTGAGACAGGAGGATCGCTGTGAGTTCGAGACCAGCCTGGGCTACACAGTGAGTTCCAGGTCAGTCTCAACTACATAGTGAAACCCTGTCTCAAAAAAACCAAAAAAGAAAAAAGAAAAATTTAAACAGTAAAATATTCCCCTCAGCCTGCAGTTGCAGAAAAAGTATGTACAGGCTTTGGGATCCAACCAATCTTGACTATTACTTGTTGGCGCTGATCTTAGAGATGCCTCATAATTTGAAAAGAAATAGTCTTAATTTCCTGTCATTTGATTGGCTTGGGAGCAGTGAAGGGGATTAGGAAAGACACTTCTGGGTGTGTCCGGTCACCCAGGTTGACTTGGGAATTACATCTGGTCCTCATCCCGTCCTCTCTGGCACTGTCCCCCTGCTCTGCTTCCTAACTCCGCCACAGCCTTCTGCCATGTTGTTCTGACTCGGAGTCAGGTGAATACGTACTGAATCCCTGAAGCCATGAGTCAAATTAAACCTCTCCACTTTTTTATTTTATTTATTTATTTATTTATTTTTTGAGGCAGGGTCTTACTGCGTAGGTTAGGCTGGCCTTGATCTCACTATGTGGCCCAGGCTGGCCTCAAACTCGCAGTGATTCCCTTGCCTCAGCCTCCCAAGTGCTGGGATTGCAGGTGTGCACCACAACACCCAGCACCTCTCCTCTTTTTAAGGTTGTGGGTGTCGAGTATTGTGTTCCATCAATGGGAAAGCTAACACAGTACCTCACAGCCAGGCCAACCCTGCTAAAGCCCCAGACACGATAAACACCAGTCAGTAAATCTGAAACTGGGACTGGAGAGATGGCAAGGAAGAAGGATATTTCTGGGGCAGTGCCTGGCTCAGAAGTTTTACAAAGAGAATGTTTTGCTCCTTTCATCCCATAAAAACAAACGTCTCTTTCCTAAAAGATAGTACCTATTTGGAAAACTTCAAAAAAATAGGCAACAGAGGTTTCTGTCTATAACATTACTTGTAAGATCTGCTGTAGGTTTGGGTATATTAGAAGTATACAAAAACAGCTGTAGAATTGATGCAATTGAAAAGAAATGGAGAAATGTTATAAAAGACAAACTGTGAGTAATGTGAAAATGGGCCAAGAAATAGAAGGTGGCAGACACACAGACAAGAGCAGAAAGGAAGGAGACCCAAGCTGCACACAGAATACCAGAAAAGATGAGCCAGCCAGGAGGTCACCAGGGGCTCCACAGCCACTGGTCCTCTCTTAGGAGGTAAGGAACAACAGAGAAGGGCATTCTGTCAAAACCTAAAAGAAATCTTCAAAAGGAAGATGGCAGACTGTGATACAATTTCTAGAAGTAGGGAGTATCTATTTTAATTTTTTAAATCCAAGCTATTAAATAAAGCTGAATCGATACTTATGTATGAAATCCAATATCCCATGAAAAGTTGCTATCCTTCTTCAACTGTTATCAGTCCATGCCCTCAAATTGCTACATGTAGTTAAAAGCTTAGTTTATGCTGCTCTAGGTGCCAGAACAGAGAATAGAAGAAAAAGATGTACTAACAAGGAGGAACCAAGGAAAGCCAGAAGACATGACAGGAAGATGCTAGAACGAGATGGGAATATGTAGGTCACATATGCCACAAGAAATTTCTATACACATTTCCTTTTGAGCTGCCGGGCAAGTTAAGGCTAGCATCTTTGCGGGCAATGTTATAAAAGCAGTGACCAGTCAAAATCTGAAGTACTGGGGAGGGGAAGAAGAAGCAAATGACAGGAAGTTCAGTTTCCACGTTGGTCTGAAACACCTGTGGGATATGACCCAGGCTTCCTGTGCTAGTGTGCTTCCTCTGATTCAATACAAAATCTAAGACAGAATACAGTGAAGGCAAAAGCTTCCATAAATAGAAGGGAACCTATTTAGTCCTTTTTATATAAGTTAGCAATAGGAAGGAGTAATCACTAGAGGGTGTATGAAGCCACCAAAGTTCCTGAGTATAGACTGTAATTTACCTCTCCTGATCTCTCTATATTTATTAGGAGCCCATTTGCTGACACCAACAAGTATTTTGCTGCTGCTAGAGCTATGGAGCCTGTAGATGCTGGGAAATAGACAAGCAAGACACTGCTGGCCCTCCTGCACCATCAACTAAATTATCAGCAAAGTTCCTATGGCAGCCCGAAAGGACCAGACTCATGAACTAGCTAGGGCTGCTGGACAAAAGCTTGGAGAATTTCTTCTCTGTCTCCTGAGTGGAAGCCTACTTGTCCCAGATGTGGATGAGCTGAGTCCACAGAGCAAGAGTCATGCTGTTTATCAGCCTCATTCTTTTATGCCTTAGTGGATGTCTGCCGGCCTGGCAATGTGGCAGTGACACAACAAACCTTTCTCCCTCATCTCTACTACTCACTGACCACATCACTCTCCAGAGAAGCAGTAAAAACACATTTTAATTATCAGCCTAATTGCTTACAAACAAGGTGGTAAAAAATTAACCTCCCTAAACAGACAGCAAGCAAAAGGTGGGAGATTTTAAAATAAAATATTGGGGTCAGAACTCAACCCACAAATTTGAGGAAACTCAGCCTAGGGAGGAAAAGCTGGCCAGGCCCTCTGTTTTTGAGTTCACGCCACATTTCAAGTGAGTGGCAGGCTTCCCAGCCACTGTCCACTCCTCTCCCATCCAGCTGGCAAGGATGAAGCCTGGCATGGCAAGCTACCTGCCAGAGGCACATAAGTGAGCTCTGTATTGTGTCGTTTCTCCCTGCCCCACCCAACGTTCTCAGCCAATCCCAGGGTACAAGGCCCTCTCTACACTCTCCAACCCTACTCCCCGCAGACAGCAGGGAACAATATATAAGGGGAGACCATCTCACCTTGGCAGTCCTGTCCCTGGAGCCACTCACAATGATGCCCCCTTTGCAGTCCACACAGTTCACCTCCTGTTCATGAGCCGAGTACTTGACAGCAAAGGTGCTGTGAATCTTATGAACACCAATCTTCCCATCTCTAGGAGAGAAATAAGGAGCCCCCCCGCGAAAAGCCAATTACTCTCTCTGTAGGTAGAGAACAAATGTACAGAAACAAGCCAGGTTTCCAACAACACCCAAATACGCAAAGCACTAGACAAGTGCTGAGCTTCTAGATACCTTTACTTCTTCAGCACACTGAGGACTAAACAAAGCTGAGATAAAATAAACTCCCTGGAGGGTATCAAAATCAGCTTCACTTTGCAGTAAAAGCTCTTCCAGCGTTCCTTTTCCAGTTAACCCTATGAACTGCTTTGGGTAACTCTCTGCTTTAAACAGAAAAATTATTATTTTTATTTTTTTTTTTTTTTTTTTTTTTTGGTACTGGGGATTGAACTTGGGTCCCTGTACTTGCGAGGCAGGTGCTGGAACCACTGAGCTAAATCACTGGCCAGAAAAATTAATTTTGAAAACAACGTTCCATCTTCTAGTATCCCTCATCCCTTTGGGGTTGAGATAGGAGGTTTCTGAAGAGGGTGGAAGAAACCTTCAGGACCTACCCTCCTGCACTGATAATATGTGAGCTGGCCAGCACAAAGTGACAAACATCCTCATCGTGCCCAGCGAAGACTCCAAGAGGCCGACGGTTCAAGCTGGCACCATCTGGGCGAAACTGGTACGCCAGGATGAAATTAGCTTGGGAGATGTACAGAGAATCATCCTCTAATTGCATCCAAGGCATCTGACTGCAGAGATGGAAAAGAAAATGTAAGGTTGACTCCAATCTTTAAAAAAAGCTGACCAATCCCCCATTTAGCAAGTCTAACCTGCAAGACTCCAACCTACACCTTAATCCCTGCCTTCCAAGTTGCCCACTCTCAGCTACCCTCAGAAAGCCAGCATGACGGGTGCTTTGTGGTGACATAATCTCCTTCAAACCTCCTGAAAGAGTCAGAACTGCAGAACCAATTAAATATCTCTTTTAATTGGAGAATGCATAATATTTGAATTACTGGCTACTTATACTTCTCAAGAGTAGGCAGAATTCACAAAATTAAATGGTTGATAGCCAGGCATCATGGCACATGCCTGTGATCCCAGCACCTGGGAGGCTGAGGCAGGAGAATCACAGGTTCAAGTCCAGCCAGGGCAACTTAGCAACTCAGCGAGACACTATCTCAAAATAAAAAAAAAAAAAATTTAAAGTGCTATGATGTAGCTCAGTGGGAAGGCCTTGAAAATTTAATTCCCTGTACTGCAAAGAAAGAAAAAAATATTCAATAGTTAAGGAATAAGGAGGGTCAAAAAGAAATCCTCTAGTCAAGTGAAATTACTTTCTTTCATTCTTCAAACCGGGTGAGGTTTTTTTTTTGGGGGGGGTACCAGGGATTGAACTCAAGACCTTGAGCTTTCAAGGCAGGTGGCAGCACCTCTGAACTAAATCCCCAGCCCAAGGTGACTTTCCATTGTTCTTCATCCTTAAGACACAGATCATTGAGAATCTACTGGGAAATAGTGATGGCAATAGAGAAGAGTGTGCCCAAGGAAGCCCAATTCCTTTGTCCTACTAGAGCAAAAGGGCCTTTAGAAGTGAAAGAAATCAGGCCCCTTCAGCAAGGGATGGTAATGTACTGATTAGACGCCTAGATCCTCCCAGAGCTATTTGCATTTCTGTACTGGAGGGTAGGTGTAACAATGGAAAAACAACTCCACAGCAGTCTGCTACAGTTAAGGAGCCACAGAAAACCAGCTTCTACAGCAACTGATAAGAGAAAACTACAAATGGTTGAAGATCTCCCCTCCAACCTGTAGAAGAAATAAAGGTTAGAAGCCACAGACCAGTCCCATGGCACCGGGTGAGCCTTTAGAAGGAAAAAGACTGCAGGAGACTATGCTTTCTGGTGGGACTATCTGCCCCCTTTCAAGGTGGACGGCCCACTTGCCTTACCTACCCAGGGGTCCCAGAAAAAGCAACGGAGCAGCTGACTCATGCCCACATACAGATACCGTCTCCCACTGCCAAGCCTTTCTGAGCAAACTGAGCTGTGTTTCTTCCCCAAGCTCCTTAAAACAAGCGTCATGGGAATGTGGAAAAGTTTTGCAAATTGACTTGACGGACCATTAAATGCAGCTTGGACCTGGTAGTAACTGAGTTTCTGCCCATGAGGCCGTTAGGAGTGTGTGCATGTGTGACAGGGAACATGTGCAAATGTGTACAGATGTTGCACTCTCGCTCATTATGCACATTCAACATCCTGTGCATAAGTGTGGGCACACTCAAATTGGTAGCAAATAGGCACTGGATTCATGTATTTAGAGCCATCTGGTAAACAGTCATTAGCCTAGAGCAAGAAACAAACCAGGTTCATACTGGGTGAACAGTGGGGAATCCCAGGGCAGCCTGATGACTATTCTGTGTGTTTATTTGCCAAACTCCTTGAAACTAACCCAAAAAGACAACATCAAAGACAAAAGCTTGATGGAGAAATAAACTCTACTCTCTGATATTAAAAAGCACAAGTGGGAAGCAGAGGATAAAGTCCTTCATCATAAAAATTTATCCTTCTCAGGCTGGGGATTTACCTCAGTGGTGTGGCCATCTGCCTTGCCAGCCCAAGGTCCCGAGTTAGATCCCCAATACAAAAAAAAAAACAACTTATCCTTCTCTTCCATGGCTTCTCTGCCATCACCACCACCACACAACTCACAGCAGTTGATGCCAGTGAAACCAGCGATCACTGGACACAAGCAAGAGAGAAAGGGCTCAGTAGATGCAGCTCAGCAGAGCTCTATCTACCAGCACAAGGTTATGACACTCCTGAAGAGGGGGACTCATGAAGTTGTCTACCCACTGCTACCAATCAATGAGAAGCACATTTTAGATGGGGAGTCAAATGATGTCTTTGAAATAAATGAGCATGATGAAGCATAAAATTTATGGCATTAGCAGTGCCACAGCCATTGTGTTAGTCACTTTTCTCATCACTAGGACAAAAAACCCAGTATCTACAACTAAAAGAGGAGCAGCTTACTGTGGCTCACAGTTTAGTCCACAGTCAGCTGGCTCCTAGGCAGTATGATGTAGCCAAGGGGCACGGTAGAGCAAAAGCTGCTCACTCCAGGGACAGCAGGGAAGGGAGAGAGACCCTCCAAGCCACACCCCCAGGGACCTGCCTCCTCCAGCCAGACCTCCTAACAGCAAGTCAACTACAATGCTCCATAACCCAGTCACCTCCCAAGGACATGAGGCTTTGGGGGCCATCTAAACCACAACAGCAACAGGCCCAATCTCAACTCGCTGGCACTTTGTCTGCATTCTGCCTCTATAACATACATCCAAATGTTTAAATCTTATTTTCCCTTTTAACAAAGCAGAGGAGATGGGCTGGGAATGCAGCTCAGTGACAAGAGTGCTCCCATGCCTAGCATGTGCAAGACCCTCAGTTCAATCTCTAGCACACCGTACACACATGCAAAAGAGAGAGCTAAAGGAAGTTGAGTGAATTAGCAAATCCCTAGAGCAGAACAGCTAAAGACAAATAATTATAAAACAACATAGATTAGAACACTGGGAGCCAGGGATTTAGTACAGGAGTTTCGCCGCGTGCCTTGCAAGAGCAAGGACCTGAGTTCGATACCTGGTACCAAAACAAAAAATTTGGGGGGGGGGCTGGGGTTTAGCTCAGTGGTGCTGCCGCCTCACAAGCTCAAGGACCCAAGTTCGATCTCCAGTACCCCCCCGCAAAAAAACCACTGGGAATTATGAGTGCTGGGAATTGTGTTTCTATTTTCTCCTCTATATTTTTTACAATTTTTTCAATGTTTACTTATGAGTGCTGGAAATTATGTTTTCATTTTCTTCTCTATATTTTTATAATTTTTTCAAATTTCTATAATAAACTTTTTTTTTGGTACCAGGGATTGAACTTAGGACTTTGTACTTGCAAAGCAGGCAATGACATCACTGAGCTAAATCCCTGGCCCTATAATAAACTTTTTACTAATCGTAAATACATATAATTTTTAAAGTATAATTCTTATAGACTTTGGGGGGGGCGTGTTTCAGACAGGGTCTCACTATGTAGTTGAGACTGACCTAGAACTCAATATGTAGCCCAGACTGGTCTTGAACTCACAGCGATCCTCCTGCCTCAGCCTCCTGGATGCTGGGATGACACGCCTGCACCACCACGCCTGGCTCTTGTAGCTTTTTTTAAAAGTGAAAACAAGTCGTTCCTCTGACGCCTCCCTTGCAGTGTTTACTGAATGACCACTAACGCCCCAGCTAGGACAGCCTCCCTTGTACCAGAAGCCAGTTTCAGTTCCCATTACACTCTTCCGTCCCAGAAAGCTTCAAAGGACCCAGAGACCACTCGCCTGCATCTCCACTTCAGCAGAATCCCCTCTCGGCAGCGGCCCAGCCTCCAGTTCTGAGACACCTTTACCCGTTCCTTCACTGGGACACTGCTCATCCTACAGCCAAAAGAGCAGAAAATCCAGTTACTACACCTCATTACCAACAAGACAAAATCTCCACGGGCTTACTGCGTCAGGACATGGGAACACCCGAAGTATAAACCTGATAGGAGACCAAGGAGGTTAACTCTCCTCTCTCCATACTGAAATAACCAAGACAGCCAAGGAGAAAAGTCTGCCCTTTAAACTACTGAGTGAGAGAGAGAGAGAGAGAGTGTGTGTGTGTGTGTGTGTGTGTGTGTGTGTGTACACACACACATACATAACATACACTGACACCAAAGCACACTAACAGAAAAGAGACCGCAAATAGTTTGGGAACTTCTGAATGCCCATATGGGAAAAAAATGGACACTGACCCTACACCTAATACCAAACAGAAAAAGTAATTCAAAATAGATCATAAACCTAAACATAAAATCGAAAACTACAATGCTATTAAAAGAAAAGAAACAAAAGCATCTCTCTACCTACAGGGTTAGGCAAAATTTTCTTAGAACATAGAAAGCAATAACACAAAAGAAAAATCCAATAAATCAGACTTAATCAAAATTTAAAACTTATGCTCACCGGGGCAGGGGATTTAGCTCAGTGGTTCTGGTGACTGCCTCACCAGCGCAAGGACCTCAATTTGATCCCCAGTTAAAAAAACAAAACAAATCAAAAAAACTTATGCTCACCAAAATGAATACCCAAACTATAGTCATAGAAGAGTCACAAAATACATATCTAGCAAAGGATGTGTATATCCAGATGAGAAAATCCTCTATGTGTATGTATATATATATTTTGTTTTGTTTTTTGAGACAGGGTCTCACTGTGTAGTTGAGACTGACCTGGAAATCACTATGTAGCCCAGGCTGGTCTCAAACTCACAGCAATCCTCCTGCCTCAGTCTCCCGAGTGCTGGGATTACAGGTGTGTGCCACCATGCCTGGCTTTATGTATATATTTTTTAAAGACCAAAAGAAACTTTCCCATTTGGTTGTGGGAAAGCAAAATGCTACAGGCATTTTGGAGAAAAGTCTGGCAGTGTATTATAAATCTAAGCACATACCTACTCTATGACCCAGTGATTACCCAAGTAGAGTAAAACCGTATGTCCACAAAAAATTTCCCCAAGAATGCTCAAAGAAACTTCAGCCATTACAGCCAAAAGTTGTAAACAGCCACAGCACCCATCAACAGAAGAATGGTAAATACACTGTGATAAGTTCATACGATGGAATAATACTCAGCAATAAAAAGGAAACAAGTAGTACCAAAAACACAGTAATGTAGATGAATCACAAAAACATTACAATGAATGAAGAAAAAAAAAGCTCACAGAATTGCATGATTTTATTCACACAATGTTATTTTATTTTTTTCTTTCAGTAGCAGGGATTGAACTCAGGACCTCGCACTTGCCAGGCAGGCATATCACCATTCAACTACATCCCCAGCCCAACTAACCTATGATGTAAAAATCAGAATACCAATTACCACCTTAGTGGTCAGGGAACTAACAGGGCAGGCACATGCAGAAACTTTCTGGTTTTATGTTCAGCATCTAAATCTTGAGGAATCTGAGATATATAGCACATATGCACAAGTTAAAAATGTATTAAATGATCTACTTAAGGTTTGAGCATTTTGCCAGGTACAGTGGCACACACCTGTAACCCCAGCACTATAGGAAGCTGAAGCAGGAGGATCACAAGTGTGAGCCCAGCCTGGACAACTCAGTGACTTACCAAGATCCTGTCTCAAAAAAACAAAAAATAAAAAAAAATTAAAAAATACACACACACACACACACACACACACACATATATTTAAGGGATGGGGATGTAGCTCAGTACAAAGACCTTGGGTACAATCCCCAGTACCCCACCTCCAAAAAGAGCATTTTGCTCAAATACAAGTTCACCACATATAAAAATTTTTTAAAAATATATACTCTAATCAGCAATATGCAAGCATGTTGAAATATTTAGGGTTAAGGTACACTGGCTGGTATCTGTAACTTACTTTGAAATGTATGGTTAAGCAAATCTAGCCAAATAATTCTAGAACATGTAAGAGTATTCATTGCAAAATTAATTCAATTTTCTATTTGCTTTAATTTTTTGCTTAAAATGATGTTGGCTAGTGTGTGTAAAAGTATTTCTTGGGTGAGAAAGGCAACGGCCCTAAGAGCCAAAGGTGTACACCAGCAGGGGGATGGCACCGCTTAGGGTCAGGCATGTAGGGAGAAGAGCTCAAAACCCTTTTGGGAGTACACCTTTGGATAGAACTTTGAAATCATGGGTAAGAATTTGAAAATTCCATTTCAGGCTGCCTACACCTGCCTTCCATCTCCTTGCCTTGCGCCACTGGACAATATAAGGTACACTGTTTGAGATAAAGTGATAACTGTAATGTCAGACTATAAGTTCACTGGCCAAGGAGAGACACATTTCTCCCAGTCTACTTACCCCTTCACATTCACCACCCTTTACTAAAAGCAGGGAATTCCTTCTTTCAAGATTCTAATGGATATATAGTTAGAATGATGATTTTGGCAGGCAGAAAGATATCTAATCCATTTCTAGATATGCAGCTTCCTACTTCTGCCCTTATTTATCTGCACTGAATAATTATTTTTGGCTAATAATGTAATGAATGCACAGGGTAAAAAAAATGCAGATACACAGCATGAAACGTTAATGCAAGGTGAGTCATCCTTCTAACCCTATCAAGATGCCCTCCTCCTCTGCAGAGGCATGCACATATGTCACTAGTGTGTGTACACTCGTGTGTGTGACTATTCCCATATATATCCCTCATCACCTCCCTTTTCAGCACTAGGAACTGAGCCCAGGGCTTTCACACAGCAAGAGCCCCAACATTCAGGGACTTTTTAACATCAGATTAAAATTTCCACAGGCTTTAATTTTTTAAAAAAGCAACTGTCTCTGATATTTTTAAACCTAGATTTAGAACCATCTTTGATTTAGTTTAACTGATTGGAGACAGGGTCTTGTTACATAGCACAGGCCGGCTTGGAGCACATAATCCTCTTGCCTCAACCTCCTGAGTGCTGGGGTCACAGGTGTGCCACCATGCCCTTCCTGTCTGACTTTTAAAAAGGAAAGCACGAAGGGCCCGGGATTTAGTTCAGTGGTTGTGGCGCCTGCCTCACAACCTCAAGAGCCTGAGTTCAATCCCCAGTACCAAAAAAAAAAAGGAAAGCAAGAATTATTCAAACTGATATGAATTTAATATGTAACAAACCAAGTACAATTTTAAACTAAGGAAAAAAATCACTACTTAAATTAGTGCATATTTCTGTTAGAAGAACTGGAAAATGGAAAAAGAAATGCACACTTAGAACAGTGGAAAGGTAAATAGTACTAGTTTACTGTGGAAAGCCAACTTTGGGGTCTATATTCATCTTTGTATTTTTATATATATCTCCATTTTTCAACAATATAATATTTGGTAAGAGAGAAAAATATTCCTTAAAATAATAGGGGTTAAAGGGTATAGCTCAGTGATAAACATGGGGTAGCAGTCATCCTGGGTTTAATTCCCAGCACCAAATAATAACAGTGACAATAACAGTAAAATGTTATTGACAAAACTGGACATCTACAAATAAAGCAAAAAAACTGATTTAGATGGCTATCTCATAAAATATTATTAAATTAAAAAAGAAAGTCAATTTAAAATAATTTAACAAAGCACCGTAGTGCACACCTATAATAAATACAGCACTTAGGTAAGGTGAGGCAGACCTCTGTCTTAAACTAAAAATTTGTTGTTTGACAGGGTCCTCACTATGTAGTTCAGGTTGGCCCTGAACTCACCCTGCAGCCCAGGCAGACCTGGAACTCAAGGTGATCCTCCTGCTTCAGTGTTCCGAGTTCTGGGATTACAAGTGTGCAACACTGCCCCAGTCCCCAAAGTAGAAAAATGTTTAAAGGACTGGGGATAGAGATTGGTAGAGTACCCCTGGATTTTGTCCCCAGTACCACAAAACAAACTAGACAAAAATGAAATATAAACATATTCCATTAAAGAGATCATTAAACAATTATACAAACAATAAAAATATATCAATTACAAAGCACTCAAGTTTGATTCCATTAAATTTGAAATATTACATAAAGGGTAAAAAACATTAAAATAAAAGCAACGGTATGGAAAAAAAAAACCAACATTACAGTTACAAATCTTATCGCTAAAACTTTTAGAGAGTTGATAAAAATCTAACAAGACGGCTGGGGATTTAGCTCAGTGGTGCCACACCTGCCTTGCAAAAGCAAGGTCCCGGGTTTGATCCCCAGTACCAAAAGAAAACAAACAAACAAACAAGATAATACCCCAAGCCAGGCCTAGTGACATACTTCACAATTTCAGGTACTCAGGAAGCTGGCAGGAAGATCAAGGGTGGATGCCAACCTGCACAGCAAGATAAGAGTTCAGAAAGGCCTGGGAATATAGCTTATTGTAGAGCACTTGCCCATGAGCCCCTGGGTTCAACTTCTAATATTGAAAAAATAAATTAAAATATAACGCTTGGTCACCCATGTCCTACCAAAGCTGAGAAGTTACAGTGTTCACGCAATGAAATGCCAGGAGAAACATCTCACACAACACTACACTGAAGACACACACCTTAAAGCAATTATTAAAATACTGTACTGCCTCACGTCAATTAAGTGGAAAACCCAACTCGCTTTGGTTTATAAAGTGTTTGGTTATTTATTGCTGGTAGTACACTCAACTGATACAATCTTTAAGAAAGGAATTCTAAGACAAAGTCATTAAAAGATAGCTTCTGATCTATCGCTGACACTTTGAACACTATTTCACAAAGAAATAATTCAAAAGAAAAGCTACAGGGGCCGGGGATTTAGCTCAGCGGTTCGGTGGCCTGCCTTCAAGCGCAAGGACCTGAGTTCAATCCCCGGTACCAAAACAAAAAAGAAAAGAAAAGTTACATATATATGGTTTTGTGGGTATTTTTGTTTCCTGAAACATGGTTTTAGACTTTAACTCACAATCATTCTGTCTCAGCCTCTTGAATCTAGGATCATAGGCATATGCCACTGTGACTGGCAAAAAAAAAAAAGTACTTTTACAATGATATCTTTCACTGCAGCTATATATTAGAACTAAAAT